TGTTGGTGCTAAATAAGTGTGTGGTGTGTTGGTCAATTCGTCGGTTTTGTGGTTAATATGAGCGTTAGTGCTGAAAGATCTGCGGCTAGTGTCAGTAAATGCCTAATCCCTTTATTAGGCCTGGAAGTCCCGAACAAAATTTTATTAAAACTGCTGCCATAAATGATAGATTCGATAAGTCAACTTAAATTTCTTAAACCTTATCTCCTCAAAGCAATTTCATGGATGTAATTTTTTGGAAAAAACTTCAAATGTTCTTATTCATCTTGATCATCAGATAATATTAGAGCTGACACATCTATCAGGGGTATTGTGACACCCCCGGTCAATCCCTACCCCCTGTAATGAACATAATATTGAGAATGAAAATGTGGTATTATGAAAAATTATAAATGCCTGCTTTTAATAAAATTCTATCTCCAGGTGGTGGGCAAGCAGATAACCTCACTCTACAGGTATCTCTTTGATGAAATTACTGTAAGTTTTAATTGTTTTACCACTGCCCCATGACAGAAATAAACAAGCTTCGGAACTTATCTTCTTTTTCTAGTATTTCATTATTATTTGCTTAACCTGTTATTTAGAAACCTCACTAACATCAAATGAAATGCAGAAAAAAATGTTTGTTTGCTTTCATGAAAAAATAGAGAAAACGGTAGTATTAGTTTGATTAGAAAATGACATGTAATGGCAAATGACCAAATTTACTCAAATAAATGTTAATAAGGTTGCCTCTCAGGCCTGTTTATTAAGGTAAGCGGACTTCCTGATTCTTGTAATTTATAATTATAGCCAATAGCTAATACTTTTGCTTTTACTTCATTTTCTGTCTCTTCTCTAAAAGTCAGTAAAACGTTCAAGAAGTGTATAAATGGAAATACATGTATAATACAGATAATTTAAACCCAGAGTGTTTTCTTTTCAAGGAATTGGGGGAATTGTTCGGGGAGATTGCTTTTGGGGGATTGTCTTGGGGGGTTGATTTTCCAGGAGGAATTGCCAGGGGAGGTTGGGGGGGTCCTAGAATCATGTTTCCATCCAAGATTGACCCCCTGCCATCACTGAAGAGTCAAGTCCTGAAGTGTAGACTGTGTATTGACCGCCACCCTCATTTCTCGACCCACTACCCAGTAATACCACCCTGGTAGTCGTACACTTTTCTTCAAGTGTGTGCAAACATTTCAAATAAGTTGCAAATACAAATTTCATTAAAAGTAATAATCTGCAGATTCGTTTAAATTACACATCTCGTTCTCCTGCTACTTACAGATGCCTGTAATGAGTTTAAGGACGCTCTCAGTAACATATGATCAATGTATTCTATGTAAGCTTTTTTAAAGATGTATGTCTCGGAATAGAATGTATTTTTTAAAATTAGACTTAAGAAATAAGGATTACAATGTACAATACAATACAAATCACTTCTCACATATACATTTCTCAAAAACATACGCATACATACATATCCATATACCCTACCATGCCACTTTACTGCGTGCTACGAGTAACTACTGTATAAAATAAATACATATAAAGACAAGCAAATAAATATTTTTCTGAAAACATTCGATGTCCCTGAATTACGGATGCCCTCCATTTTTTGATTTTCTGTAAATGTATTATTTTACCTGAGAAATTAGTAGATTTATTTTCTAATCATCATTTCCAAGAATAATATCCGATCATTGGCTCCCTCTCGTTCACTAGATCCAGTTTTCGAGTTGTTTCCGCGAGTTTTTCACAGCATCAAAGTTAACGATATTATCTTTTATTTTCAAGAATTAAACGTATCGGACTTCACTTGATTTGACTGACGTAAAGGTCACTATATTGTAAATAAAATTTAGTTAAGTGGAATCATGTGGAAATTACCCAGAGGAAAGGCGTGGTCTCGTGTAAAATCATGAATAAATAGAGTAGAGAGTTTCCAGGCGGGAGTTTGAAGATTATATAATTTATTCACATTGCTTGAGACGTTACGACGTTTAACGAGCGTGATTGATATCAATTTGAAACTATCGTGGTGGGCGTCAACTTATCAATATTTTAATCCAACGATACGCGCACAATTATTGTGTAACGTTTCTCTCTGACCATAATGTGCGATAGAAGTCTGTTACAAAATTGTTAAAGGGGCTGTATACTATTGTATACTATTTTAGAGGTCCTGATATCACAGGGCGGGTTAACGTTAACATACAGTGTAGTAAAACGTAGAATTCTGACGTAAGGGGATATCTAAAATGGGAGTATGATAAAAGTAAAGCAATTAATTCAACTTTTTCCATCATCATTCCAGGACTTTAATCTCGTCTGAAATTAGTTCAGTCTTTCCTTACACCAGAGGTATATTGTGGCTCCGGTCTGTCACGTGAAGATACTAGGCCAGTGCTTTCATAAACTACGCTACTTAACCCAGAAAACGAAAGGAAAGTGTTGGGTGTGATTTAGGTAGAGCAACCAGATACGTTAGAATTTGTTTTCACCAATTTATTCAGACGTTAGAAAACTACGATGTGCATTTGTTGGTAAAACTGAAGTTGTAGTAAACTAACATTTACATTATAGGAAATGCTTTATAAAAAGTAATATATAAAAACCGTCTTAATTCAACTAGAAAATATATGAAATCCATTTGAATCATTAAGGGTTCAGTCCCCCCCCCCTCATGAATAGATAAATATAATTAAGGAGCTAATTCTTTTAAACATCCACACCAGCTTAAAAATATGTGATTTATAGAATGTTATACTACCATACAATGTACACATTCTATTTAAATCAAACCAATAATCCATATTTCAAACAACATTACATCTTCAGCTTCACAAAAAATAAAGGAAATTTATGTTCTTAATTATCAACATCAACACAGATTTAAAACAATGTAACTGATAGAAAATTAGACATTCATACAAAGTTTAATCAAATCAAACCAATTCAATGTGGTGTTCACAACTTAAGCCTCACAAAAACAATTTCATCAAATCATTATAATATTGCTCATAAGCAAACAGAATGGAAATTTTATCACATGGTTGTCTCAGTTAGTGGGTCAATGTTTAAACAAACAATATAGCCCCACATATTTTGATATTTAATTTTGAAAGAAAAGGCTGAAAAACAAAAGCAAGTTTTACATCAGTATCTTGTGATAACACATGAATCATCCAATGGGACTATCATAAAAGTTGGAAAAAAAAGAATGAAAATATATTAATGCTTAATATAAGTGTTGCCTGATATAAAACTGATCTAACACCAGAAAGCTATGGAGCTTGATGTGCTACACTCTAATTATTTCTCTGATCCAAATTACTGCCAAGTTTTAAGACACTTGAGAAGAAAAACATGTCAGACCCAATTCCTATACCTAGATTGATCTAGCAGGATAGACCCATCTCCAAAGGGTTTCTCGTTAAAGTACATTAAGTTTAAGTGGCTCTGACATCTGGCACTCCTACTGTAGCTGTTAGAGGGTAATTATCTATCATCTAGCAGCTTCAGTAGGTGTGCCAGACATCTAAGCTGCTTAATCTGAATGTAATTTAATGAGAACCCAGAGAATACGGAGATGGGTTGATCCTGCCAGATGGATCTTGATATGGAAATGGGTCTAAGTTAATCTACTGGTCAAGATTTGTATTTGATGAACTGAACCAGATTTGTCCTTGCTGTCACACTGATAAGAATGTGGGCCCCCAGGCTGCTTTTCTGTTGATGAATCTGGAAAACATTCACAATATTCCTTCAGAAGATATCCATTGCTGGAATTGACCAATATGTCTTTAAATAAAGATATTATTACACTGTTAAAGAATATGTTAAATACCCAACTGCAGGAATCATTTTAGTAAACAAAACATGATGCTTTTTTATGTTGTCCACTATGCAGATGATAGAACTGCTGCTGATATAGGTCTTTAATTGTTTTGGTAAATAAATAAATAAATAAAACCACAGGGAGTAGTTTTACCTTAGCTGTCAGCTGTGGTACCATATGGTCTGGAGTTTGTCTGTTACCCTGATCTCCATGACAACAAGTCCAGATGATCAACAATGGCATCCAAAGTCTCAGTAACCACCCATACTTTCTGGTCCTTGCTCACCTCTTCCACAAGAAATGTGCAAAAATTCTGAAATGAAAAATCAACTAAAAAACAAATCTGACATTGATTGTAGATTTGCAGGGACTCTTGCGGAGTGCAAACAGCGTAAGTGAATGACATGGCTCCTCTTGTTTCTAACATACTTGCATAATCAGCAGCTGTTTTTTTATTCTATTCAATGCCTGCAGAGGCGCTTCAGTCAATTAAGCCGATTGCACTTTGCGAGAGTCAAGGCACAGAGTTGAATCACTCTACGTTGACCTATGGTGTCTGTGAGAGCCCATAGAAATCAGAATATATAGACACAAATACACACATCAAACAAATATCTTCTTCACTATATGAAGCAGATTCATCTAAAGGCAAGAGAGGTGACACAAGAATTAAAAATCAGATATTTTCACCTCAACAGGTATGGTCTGTCTATAATAGAAATGAATTTTTGTTTTTCATTGTTCCAAATCTTATTTTTTGGTTTCTGGCCAGTCATCAATACTACTTTGTCTGTACTCTTTCAATATTTTAATCTATCAACTGAAGACAACCATTCATTAACATTGGCAGTTTGAGTAAACCATCATCATATTTACATAAAACCCAAATATAGGTTATATAATTGTTGGAACGTATGGAAAAAGCATGTCCATGCAAACGAAGCGCACTATCAGTTGTAGTAACTTATTTTAAAGCTCGTATGTCAATGTCTGTAGTGGACATGGATTTAGTTTTAGCTCCGCCTCCTATTGCCTACTTTGTATATATTCACGCCCTGCTCATTGAGTGGGTAGTTTTTGATCAGTCTCTGTAGAAAATAAACGTGTAGTTTTTCAACTCTCGTTTTTTTCTCTGAACCGCATATCGACATTTTTTGGTGCTGTGACCAGGATAACTATGGCTGCAGAGAGAAATCAAAAACTCCGGTCGGCAAACCGAGCCCAGCTAACGAAGCTGTTTCAACGAGCATCAAGTTTGATGTCTGATGAGCCGTCCGTAGAAAATGTGGAAACATTGGACTTGACGTACGAACTAATCGAGGAGAAGATGGACTATCTAAAAACATTAGACGAAAGAATTCTGTCCAAACTTTCAGATGAAAAGATGGAAGACAGCGTTGCCAAAGCAGACGAATTTATGTTTTCAGCTAAAGAGAAGCTCCGTCGCATTCGAAAACATAAAGAAAATATACAGTCAGAAGAACGCCGAAGCAAGCCTTCGATTTCTAACGCTCCCACTCCAAGTGATGACCCTCCGCGGAGCAACATGAAACGAAATTACAGGCTCCCCAAACTCATCCTATCCAGGTTTGACGGAAATCTCCTTCAATGGCCCGCTTTCAACGACGACTTCGTCAGTGCTATAGACGAAAACGAGACGCTATCTACTATCGAGAAATTCCAGTTTTTACGGGCACAGTTGGATGGCGAAGCGTTTTCTACGATCGCGGGATTACAGCTTACGGCTAATAATTACGAAAATGCGAAGGAACTTCTTCGAGAAAGGTATGGACAAACTCACAAAATCATTAACGCATTCATGATAGCTCTTTGGGAGCTTCCACGCCCCGATGAAGATATAAAATCATTGAGATTTTTCTACGATAGGATCGAGACTTTCATTAGAGGACTCAGCTCTTTAGGAAAAGAAGAACAAAGTTATGGAGAACTCTTGATTCCTATGATTCTAGATAAATTGCCTGCCAACACGCACAGACAAATCGCCAGAGCGCATGGAAACAATGAATGGTCAATCGCCGATCTGCGCAGTACACTTAAGTCTGAGAGCGACGCCCTTCAAGCTGGAGAAATAGATGGGTTCAACCAAGAGAAGTCGTACCGACCCACTGCTGCGTTTTTCACTAATAGTAACACGAAGAAAACGACGAACAAGCCGAAAAGAAAAATGAAATGCGCTTTCTGCAAAAATGAACATAGCTCTATCACGTGCCCAGTCGTGTCGGACCAGGAAAAACGCTTTGAAATAGCAAAAAGAGACAATTTATGCTTTAACTGTCTTACGCCCAACCATACAAGCCAAAAATGCCTTTCTAAATTTCGCTGCAGAAGTTGCAATGGAAAACACCACACCACCCTTCATGCTNACTCACCCCAAGTGATTCGTTGAATGAGCAACTCTTTAAAAACAATCCAAATGTCATTGACCCTACGACCGCAGTTCAGGGTCATTCCGTTGAAACTGATATTTCCAACAAAGCCAACAACCAAGCAATGCGAGGAAATCAGCCGCTCACAACGAAAACGGACATTTCAAAGGTGATTGACATTGGCCGACATGGCACGCTTCCGAAACTGTTAAACGTTACGGCATTGGTGCTCAGATTTGTTGCCATTATGAAGGGAAAAATACACAAGACGTCATCTTACGTAATTACAAACGCCTCGCCTTCTGCAGAAGAAATCGTTAATGCAGAAGAAATGTGGATCAAGTGTGTTCAAGAGAAAGCTTTCTATCAAGAACTTGACTCATTGAAAGGAGGAAAATCTAAATCAAATACTGTTAAGCAACTTGCTTTGTTTTTAGACAGTAATGGCATTATACGACTTACAGGTCGCTTACAAAACGCACCCCTGACTTACGACGCAAAACACCCGATACTATTACCACGGCAACATCCATTAACTTTGTTAGTGATAAATGACGCGCACAAACGAGCGCTACATTCCGGCATGCAATCAACTGTAACAAGTATCAGGCAGAGATTTTGGATCCCCAGAGCACGTGAAACTGTCAACCGCGTCCTACGTAAATGTGTCACATGCAGACGCTTGACCAGCAGACCCTATGCTTCTCCGGTTGCTCCGCCACTACGAACGTTCAGAGTTCACGATGCTCCCCCGTTTACGGTCACTGGAGTTGATTTTACAGGGGCACTCTACGTCAAAACGTCCACGAATTGTGAAGCGAAAGCCTACATGTTTATTTACTTGCTCCGCTACTCGCACCGTCCACCTGGAAGTTGTGAATGACTTATCTACATCTTCATTTATGAATGCATTTCGAAGATTCGCTGCCAGGAGATCACTACCTACGAAAATGATTAGTGACAACGCAACAACTTATCATTCAGCCGCCAATGAAATCAATAAACTTTTCGAAAATGAAGATGTAAGTCGATATCTAAGTCAAAATAGAGTGAAGTGGGAATTCATTCCTAAAAGAGCACCGTGGTTTGGTGGCTTTTGGGAAAGATTAATTGGTCTCACGAAGAATGCAATGAGAAAAACACTAGGACGCGCTCGCAGCACGCTAGACGAATTGCATACCATAACATCGGAAATAGAAGCAACACTGAATGACCGCCCCATTACCTACGTTAATGAGGGTGAACCTCTTACACCATCAATGCTTTTGAACGGACGTCGAATCAACACACTACCTTGTAAACTGACAGATGAGGATGAAAGATTGGATCGGACGTTCGCACCAGATGGCAAAATCTCCAAAGAACACTTGACAAAACGATTGAAACATGTGCAGGAGGTCAATGCACATTTCACGCAAAGATGGACCTCCGAATATCTCACTGCACTAAGGGAAAGGGACAATATGAATGGGGTTAAACAAAATACTGTTCAAGTTGGAGACTTAGTACTAATTCATGAGGATATAAAACCTAGACTTTTGTGGGATTTGGGACTAATTACAAAACTGAGCTACGGCAATGACGGAATAGTGCGATCAGCAACATTGAAAACTAAGTATGGAACAACAAATCGCCCTATTACGAAACTTTATCCTCTCGAAATTTCCGTTGATTATGACACTGCCCCTGACCTGAGAGAGGTCACACTGTCCAAAGAAATTACTGATGAAAACATCAAAATACCAGCCCGTAACACGAGATGCGCCGCCCAGCAAGCAAAGGATAACATCGCTAGACGGATTCAAGAATTGAAATGAAAATGAACTTTGATTACTTATGGAACTATTAGACTGTTCAAATGAAACTGTTTGAAACATTTAATCAAGCGCATTAATGGATTATTTAACCTTACTATTGGACTATTTCTAATTAACGTTGCTTTGGACTTCGTTTTTTGTTTCAATGACAATCTATTACACAAATGTTTACATTTATCAGTACTTACTGACTAGTACACCGCAAGAACTTGTTGGTATGACTCGAGTTTAATGAACTTCTTGGATTTCTTGCTTATTTTAACAGAATTAATGCTTTCATGTTCACTTTTACAACTTGTTGCCCCCGGAGAATGTTGGAACGTATAGAAAAAGCATGTCCATGCAAACGAAGCGCACTATCAGTTGTAGTAACGTATTTTAAAGCTCGTATGTCAATGTCTGTAGTGGACATGGATTTAGTTTTAGCTCCGCCTCCTATTGCCTACTTTGTATATATTCACGCCCTGCTCATTGAGTGGGTAGTTTTTGATCAGTCTCTGTAGATAATAAACGTGTAGTTTTTCAACTCTCGTTTTTTCTCTGAACCGCATATCGACATATTAGGGAAGTCAACTAATACCACCCACCCTGGAACAGTCTCATTAAAAACTCTTGCGGACAAGATGAGTGAATTTTACATATTGTAACAATTGGGGTCAGTGAGGCTACGAATCCGCTATAAGAAATTATTAGACGTAATGTAAACACAGGCTGCACGATCGTCTGCTATAACCAGTTTTTATTTTTTTCTAGTTATCTTTCACTAATCCTACCTAAAAACTTCGTTTTCCTCAGAGCCTTATGTCCTAGTGTTTATCCAAACGAACTCCGTAGTTTAGTCTTTCATTGTAATCCATAAAAAGGGTAAAAATAGTCCAAAATTCTAATGCACATGCAGGGGTAATCCTAGAGAGGGGTAAGAAACGTCCATTGTTCTCGTCAGTGAGGCTAACCGAATTCAGGGTATGTACGCACAGACAGAAAACCATGTATTGTGGGAACGTTACTAATGAAGCCACTGGTAGTACCAGTAGATATCAGTCTGTAGTCTAGAACAAGCACCTCGTTGACGAGTGAACAGTTGTCAAAAACAAAAGACCCAGGTGTGGTAGATCGACTACTGTTCGCGCGTGCCGCAAAGACCAAGCCTAATTGCCCCTCAAGGTCACAAACTAATATCCGGTGCTGACGGTTAGGCTCGTCATAATCATATAAGTAGCGCGTTTCCACCCCCTGGCACATGCTGGCCACGCTTCCATGCTGAGCGGCCATGCTGTTAGGTCACGACCCTGACCTTTGACCGCGTCGAGTGATGACGTAACGAGGCGAGTCTATAAATAGGGCCGCAGAGCTCAAAGTCGGGGCGATTCGAATCTTACAATTCTCTCGTTGAAATTTTTTCAAGACAGCTAGCGCCAGTGAGTTCGATTTATTTTTATTTAATAGGGTGCCCCTGCGGGGGTTACCCGTCTTGCATTAAGCACAACTTTATGTAATTTAGAATAGATTTTAATTTAAATAATCTTATTTTTTCCAGTTACTATTATAGTATTAATTAGTAGTTGCTAGATCGTAGTTACGTTCTCAGCTAGATCCTTCCCGTAGCTTA